CATACATACATACTAAATACATATTTACATATATCCTTACTAAAGCCACAATATATCCCGATACTTACTGCCACTTCAGCAGGATGAATTCTAACGAATGCAGATATGTGATAACACTTGATGTTGTGGTGATTTTGCTTTTTAAAGGCACCGAGAGCACATTTGCTCATACATACTCGTAGAACATAACATAGATATATGTTTTTATGTTCATTGCTGGGTTGGAGTGTCATTTGATGAGGCAACCACAGCTTTCGTTGTTGACTTTGGGCGAATGTATTTTTTCCTGCTTGATTTGTATGTGTGTATTTGTGGGTTCTCAAACACTTTAGGATCACATAAAAATGTGGAATGTGTGTGTGCAATAACATATTGGCTACTTTAAAAAACTAGCACTTTGCACAGCAGATATTTCACACATTCAGAACAGCATAGTGCTAGCCCATAGTTTTTTTTTGTATTTATTCATGTCTTTTCGGTTTTTTTTTTGTCCATTAAACTTTTATAATACAATTTTTTCTATGGCCTGTAATTTTTTATAAATATACGTTTGTCTGTCAATATATGGTCGCTGATTGCAATTAAAAACTGCGTAATTAATGATAAAAACAATGTAAGTGCACATACTGTCGTATGTAAAGGATAACTCATGGCGCTTGACAACTGTTTTTTACAAAAAATTTTGACAACAGTATGATACTTCTGACAAATATGATATCTCTATGTGTCAAAAATTCTCATATGATTTTTGAGCATTAAACACCTTCTCAGAGGAAGATAGTACAAAAACAAAAAAAAAAAACAAAAAAAAAAAAAAACAAACAGCTGAAACTAAAATATTGATTAATGATTAACGCGACAAAGTTGTGGTCAAAAATGCAATGCATGAACTCGATAAAAAATTCATTAAACATTTTATATAAGCATTACTAGATGTTTAGTGAATCAGTAGCAATTTGAAGATTTCGAATACTCAAATTCAAAAATAAACGCTACTTTCAGAAAAACACGCTTTAAGATTAAAGATAAAATGTGAACGCTGAATGCAGGCCCGGGTTTGCAAGGCGATATCTCATAAACCAACATGCTTTTGATCAAATCCTTTGTAGAACATGTTTCTAGTTAAAACTACATTAGAAGTGCGCAAGAGATCGACCATTTTTCAAGCCGCGAAGATAGACGAGCCTTCTTAAACGGTATACCAAATAAGCTTTTAGTGAGTTACAACAGATCAGACAGAAAACCAAGGACTAAAAAAAACTGCTTCAAGGAAATATGTTAAAACGACGCCGCAAGGCTGCGTCCTAGAAGAATATATAAGAAAAATATACGTAGCTTACAATAAAGAAAAAAAAACGGAGCAAATGTATTGGTAAATCATCTTTATATGGTTTCGAAATTAAAACACATGCATACAAATGGAGCATATTTTATAATCTTATTTTATATTTTCCTCATTGGTAATTAAAATGTTTTATTACCTTTACAACTAAGTTTGTTTGGCAACAAAACCTGTATAATAAAGCATTTCACTCATATAATTAAATAATTATATAATACTACGCTGTGTATTTATCAGTCATGTGTCTATGTGTATGCAGACTTTTCTCTTCCCAGGAATGCTTGTAACACGACGCCTCTGTTTTTACGTGTCAAATTTTGTATCTCATTAATGCATTCACATTTAATTAAGTTTACTTCATTACCGTTGCTCCATATGCTCCACAGGTCTGTGTTAACCACCTGTAGCTTGATTTTTGTTGCTAATAATTAAAAATAGCTATCTTTTTTTGGCGTGGAAGCGTTCACCATTAGAGTTGTTAATGACTGAGATGGTGCAAAACTCTATGTGCTGTTTGTGTAATTAAAAAAATTGTGTAAGCTAACATTATTAGTTCGCTTGAAAGTTTTTACTATCTATTTTATAGTTATGACAGAAATTTAGTTTTAAAAAGCTATGTTGGTAGTAGAACAAACTAAGCATGCTGGAGTCATACGCAGCTTCCGTCTTGCTCTCTACATAAATTGTTTATAATTTGGTAGTCGCCAGATATTCTCTGGCATAAGTGGGTTTTTTTTTTTTGGTATATTTGTTTATTTGAATAAAATTAATAAACTTAATTACTACAATAAACAATAGTATAACGATAATATATACGTACAGTGTCTCTAGACGAGCTCTCGAGTACTTCGCTATCAATAATTAGTAACATTTTATTAACTAATGATATTATTTATATCTTAACTTAGTAGATATATAGTATATGCTTGTATTTGCTTGCAAGGAAAAAGTAAAAAAAACGATGCATAAATGATTTTATAATATAAAATGGTTAAAAGAAGAACAAGAAATCAGACCAGTTGCGTCAAGAGTGAATTAGTTATCATTATCATTTAATAGCCACCAGCAGTTCTGTTTCGTCAAAGTGGTTTCAGTTTTGTCTCTAAACGAGATGTATGTGTCGAATCGTTTATTTTCAGCAGTGAGTATTTTTGAAGTGACTACTTTGTTGTTAGCTCTTCTAAATATGTGATATATTATTGGGATGTTGTCTTCGTTTTCGATGAAACCATTTTTGTCCAAGTAGAGAAAGGATTCTGGTGGTGCAAATCCGTTTGCAATAGCTAATGCAAAGTAGTCATCACTTTCGTAAAAAGGAGCTCTTATTAAAGAGTTATTGTCATCATATAGGCAGCGACTTATATGCTTTCTAATTAGATTTATGATGTGACAATCAATTCTGGGAACTTTTGCCGTGTCGTATAGTTTAGAGTTAGATATAAATTTGGTAAAATTACTATTCTGTGACCTATGCAGTGATGTGCATGATCGGAGAATTCTTCTCTCGAATCTTCTGAGTCTTTCCATGTATGAAGGAGAGATATTAAACCAAATTGAACATCCATATGAAAGTATTGGTCTCACTAGTGATTGATACATGATAATTTTAAGCCTGTTATATAGCAGTTTTGAAGAAAACATTTTTTTATAAGTATAAAGGGCTCTATTTGTTTTTAGGATTTGTATGTTGATATGATCATTAAAATATAAAAACTTATCGAGGTGAATACCAAGATATTTGATTCTCTCCTTGCGCTGTATTTGAATATTTGCTACACTGGATTTTATATTAAACTCCTTCCATTTTTTTTTAACGTTTGAGTTACATTTATTAACGGGAGGGCGAAAAAGGATACTTTCGCATTTGTTAATATTTATTTTCAGATGCCAGTTTATTGTATAATTCTCAACAGTATTGTATTTGAGTTGCAGGTTCTTATTAACACTGTCGATCGTTCTGTCGGAGTGGTAAATGACAATGTCGTCAGCGAAGGCTACAATGTTGTCCATTTTTTGTACTAAGTCGAGGATGAAAAGATTAAACAGAATTGGAGCATTTACTGTCCCTTGTTGCAGACCATTTACTACGTGAAATTCGCGACTGCTTTTTATATTATTTATATGAACAGAAAATTTTTTGCCGGATATCATGTTATAAATAAGTATAATCAGATGGAGAGGGAATTTATAGCTGATGAGCTTACATATTAATCCTTCGATCCATACTTGATCGAATGCTTTCTCAAGGTCAAAGAAACATGCACCTGTGACATATTTCTTATTCCAGTTCCAGCTTATTTCGGAGACGAGAAGATTAATGGCATGTATAGTCGAATGCCTGTGTTTGAACCCGAATTGCTTAGGGCTAATTAAGTTGTTGGTTTTAGTAACTTTATTTATATTTATGTTAACCAAAACTTCAAAAACTTTACTAATATTTGGTAGCAAGCTAATTGGCCGAAGGTTTTTCAAGTTATTTTTGTCCTTATCTTTCTTTGGTATCACAATTAGTTTAGCTGTTTTCCAATTAGGTGGGAAGTAGGCATTGTTTAACATATTATTGAATAAAGTGCAATATTCTAATATTATTTCTGGGGAGAAATTTTTTAGAATGATATTGGGTATTTGATCTAAGCCGGATGATAGTTTACCTTTTAGTTTAGAGAATACGTCTGTAAGGTCGTTTGAACTAACAAAAAAGTTTTCCGTTTGGTCGTCATTTAAATTATTGGCTATTTTGTTGGTATTGAAGTTTGTTTTGGTCGCTCGAGTGCTGTCGAATAAAGTTTTCATTTCCAAAAACTTTCTGAAACATTCTTGTACCTGGTAGTGGACTGGATTGTTGGGTTTACTTTCTTTTGAAGCATGGACTGCTTCGAAATGAGTTCCGACTATTTCATTTATAAATTTGTTGTTGTTGATGACGTAGTTGTTTTTAACTAAGTCTTTTTGCAGAAGGTCGCGGTCTAAGCCAGCGTTTTGGATTATGTTGGATGAGTTTAAGGGGATATTTATGTGACTGATTGTATTATTATTATCTTTTATAAACGATTTTTTAATAACGGAAAATTTTGAGGGATCGTTAGTCTTAAGGCTAGTAAGTCTCTGTTCGAGTTGGTTATTAAAATGTTTCTTAATATTGTCATCTATTAGTTTTTTTACAAGTTTCAGTTTTGCTTTTTCTACTTGAAGTGTCGTGGGAGGTAGGTATGTTTGAAGTCGATTATGTTTTTTGATGGCTGAAAGGATTTTACTTTTTTCTGCCATCAGTTTTTTTATGATAGGCAAGTTTACAAGAGATTGAGTAAGGCTCTGGCATAAGTGTTTTCAATCTGTTGGCCAGCACCCTAAGACGACACTGATATATAATATTAGTTATGCATTCTCAACCCATATATTATATATATGATATTATGGCTTTATCATCGCATCTTCCGGAAATACTTCCACCTTCCTTGTCCTAAATACTCCTCTCCAAATATTCTTCACCACCTTTCGTAGCAAAACACCTAACCCTAGGAGAACTTTTACCTGCACCGTCTAAGATACTCTTGGCTCTTATCGTCTCTGGATAATATCGACCACACTTTTTAGCCAACCACCTATCGTAACCTTACATAAAAACTTCAATAATTATTTCAATGAAAGAGAAAACACGTGTGTTTTTTGTACGCTTTATCTTTTAATAACAATACTTATACATCTACATAAATATAAATTAATAATACATCTAATTTTCATAACCATCATTGTTTCCAAAAAGTATATCGCCTTTGTCCTGCTTCGTGTCTTTCGCTCAGTACTCTTTTTCATACGATCAGTGCGTCATCTCTTTGAGATTTTCGTTTGGCATCTTTCGTATGTATTCGCTTGCTATTGCATGCTTCTGTGTCTTATAATGTCATGTAGCGCAGCGCTTTGTCCAACATCTCCAAGTCGCTGGGTTTCTCCTGTTCTTCCTCGACGACGACATGCTTCTTTAGTTTGCGTATATAACGTAGGGCGAAGCGCTTGTACTTCTGCTTGATGAACTCGTGGAAATCATTTTCTTCGTGCCCTTTGCTCACGTTGAGATTGGAGGAGGCTTTCTTGATGCGTATTATGTCTTCGGGTCGCTCCTTTTGATGGTCACGTAAGATCTCGCGTCTCAGCAGCACTGCAAGTATGCGTGAGCCGGCTGAAACTTTCGGCTTCTCAAATTGTGCGCTCGTGCGTACACGGACTGGTTTTTGCTGTGGTGTACAAATTAATGGGTATATGCCAGACTCCTCAGAATCCGAACCCGGATTGTTAGCCTTCAATGGTTTCGGTGATGTGGCGAACAACAGGCGTGGTTTTTTGGCCGTACTAACTGGTGTGCGATCCAGGCTTGCATTGGCATCGCTGAAGTAAGTCTCTTCCTCGTCCGAGGATCTGCGCAATGAGATCGGTCGTTTTGGCTGCAGTTCTTGGCGATCGGTTGGCGACGCCGTTGTTTGGCGAATACGCCGCTGTGTTTCTTTCGTGATGCATAAATCACGCAGTTCTTCGTTCACCGATGATGTGGGACTTGGAATGCAGCCGATATTGCTTGGCTGCGTTGCGATTTGCAGCGAGTTCTCCAGTATTAAGCGTGTCTCACGTATTTGCTCCTCGAAGTGTTGACGACGTTGACGCTGTTTACGTTTCAGATTTTCAATGGTCTCCAAATTTTTCACGAACAGTGACAAATCTTCCTTGGAGAAGTAGGCTGTGTTTACGCGAAATTCCGAGGACGAATGGAAAACCGGTATGGAGAAAAAACTGGCGTTTTGTTGCGTGGCCATTTCTGTATTTGTTTTTTCTCGTTTGTTTCGCAAATAAATTTCTTAATTTTAGAATTATTTTTCTTACTTTTTTTTGCTTTAGCCGTGTTGTTTAGATTGCAACGATATTCTAGCGAATGCTGCTCTCTGCCTCACGGCGCGCACCTTTTATAGCCAAAGGTGTACACAGGTAGCTGGCTCAATCTGTCTCGTCCAGGATTGTCATGTTATGACCGTATTGTCGGCGCGCCCACCTTTCGCCACTGTCTCTGTCTACCTGTCTCGCCGTATATGCGAATTTCGCAAACCCGTCGCCGTTTGGGAAATTCCAGGCTTCTCTAATTTTAGGTATCCTTTTTGCAATTATTCTTAAGTAGTTCATTAAGCGTGTGCTTCATTCAAGTGTGCCCACGTGTTATATTTTTTACCTTTACACCTCTTTGTCGTGTGTGTGGATATTTTCGCGTGAACGAAGAGATCAGCTCGCGTTCAGCGGTATTGTAGATCGCGAAATAAATATTTATTTTTGCATACCGTTAAAAGGGGCAGTTGCGCTCGTTTCGTGGAAAAATTACCGAAGTGTCACAATAGTTCAAAGTAGTTTTGAATTGTTTACGGTTGCCAGATTTTGCTGCTGGTCAAGCCCTTGAACAAAAGGTGTAATTACACGTAATTTACCGTTGCTTTTATTTCGCGGTGTTGAGTTCACAAAATCTCACTTTCCCTTTGTATTTACGTGAAGTGCTTTTGTTTCTTGCTGCTAAGCAATATGTCACGTGCTCAAGGACAGTATTATATTAAGTTGAGTGAGGGATTATAGCGCATTTGCATTTCTATTATTGTGCTTAATAATATTTGCGATATTTTTAGTAATCTATGATAGATGTCGTGAAAACTATAATTTTCTAGAACACGGAAGAAAGAAATTCATTATAAAGCAGATAATGTGCTCATTGTAATGAAAGTCGACTTCAGCTGATTATATGTGCTATTATTTATTAAAATAAATTCTAATTCCTTCTTGCGCTAAATATATGAAGCTGTATGGACTCATTCTACTTGTCAGCAAGCTTTCAAAATGAGTGAGGAAGTAGAGTGAAACTTCAAAGCTGTTAAAAGTTGCATCACGTGATAAAATTGAGGAACATAGAGCTTTTGTGTATTTTAACCCCATATCTAGATAATCTAGATATTCTAACAGGGTCTCCTTCTGACCTTATTGAACTTTGCTATTTTCTTTTTCAAACTTTTTAATTAATAAGTATTTTAGAGATTTATAGAAACAAAAAGATCAACAAAGTCAGTGTAATGTTTACATCTGAGCGTATTTTTGCCATGAAAAATATCCTCATAAAGCCTTCAGCCATTTGCAGAGAGAATTATAGGTCACCTTTTAACGTAAGAAATCAGATGGATACCAGATATCGAAAAGAAACCTTAGTCTTAGCTTTCCGAATATGAATGGAATTATCTTTTTTTATAGTTGTGTAATATCATAACGCAAGTAATTCGTGAAAAATAACACATGCGTAATAAAAAGAAAAATTTTCGTGAAATTATAAAGTACTGAAGAGGTTTCGTGCCACAGAAATCTTTATTTACATTAAATGTATAAGTGGGTTGTTTAGGAAAATACATCTAATGTAGGATTTCTGGAGAAACAGTATCCACAAAAAACAATAAGCACTGGAAAAAAATCAGAATATGTAAAGTTCAACACTGTTAGTTTCGGTTAGGTGGTATGACTGATCATCGCACCAAAGGTGGCACAGGATCTCACTTGGACTGCTGTAAAATCTGGTCGTTTATGATACCCAAAGCTCTTAGAGATTGTCTACCAGTCCCATATAGCTCGAAGAAGCGCTTTGCGCCCACCACAAATTTGGTATATTAATCCCAGCACCTTCGCCAGCTTCACCAAAATATTTTAACCTCAATCTCAACTCTCATTGTCTAGATGACTCCATGTCGCTTCTTGTTGGTAACGTGATAATCGTATAAAACTTGAACCATATTGCTGGGTTGCCTAAAGCGCTATTAGTGTTTTAGACATAAAACTTTGAAATGAAAGATGATTCCTCTTTTAATTTTCTTAAAAAACTTGAACTAAAAGACACGACATTCCATTTGCTTAAAGAACCACCTCAATAATTATATTGTTCTCATAATCTCTCAGAAAAGTTTAATCATTCACAATTTTCTTCTTAAACACAATGAGACTGGGATTGCAAGCGCTGAAGAATGCTTGTATTTAATGAACTACAAACTTCTTCAAAGTTGTTGCTGACATTTAACCCGTTGTTGTCCAGTACAATGCATAACAACAGCAAACACACTTTTTGTCAGCAAGAAAAGTTCAAGAAGTGCACAAGTTTCTTTTGAAGTCTTTCCCTTGATGGACAGCGTTGACTTTTTGAATTAACTAAGTGGATTTTAATTTACAGACAATTTGTGGCAGCACAGCAAAGAAATTGAATTTAAGTGTATAAATGTGGCAACGAGTGGGGTGTGGCATTGAAGGATATTTAAGCATAAAAAAGAGAATTTAAAAGTAAAAGTGCAAAAATTTAAGACTTAGTGAAAGAAAAACACACAAGAAGGCACAAAGAAACCTGTTACACCTTACATAACCTCATACCTTAAAAATATTTGCCACATAAGCGCAAAGCATATTTTTAGTGCCACAAATTGCCTGAATAAATAAGCGCCTATTTATTTGTAACATTCCAACTGACTGACTGACTTTTACATGCAGCACATTTATTACTTTTTGCCTTTTACTTTCACTTTTCTCATATTTTCTTTGCATTTGACTTAATCCTTTCTTGTGTTATTTATTTAGACAGATCGTTCTATAGATTTTCGTACATTTTTCCTAAAATAAATAAAAAAAACTTTCTTTCTTTTCTCTTTTGTCTTTCGACAATATGGCTGTTGTTGTTATTGCGTTGTGTTATTGTTTTCTTTTGACGGCTTTCATGTTATTTATGTCTCATGGCAGACTCTTGGTCACAGCTGTCAAATTAGTGTAATTGTCAGTGGGACGCTAGTTTGCGGTCGCACAGCTCATAAGCAGCGTCAGCGTCTGCAAATTTCGCCAGCTCATACATACACACGTGCGTAAATATAATACGTAACGTATGTATTAATGTACTTTACGTCGTCGCCAAGTATGTCCGTCATTGTGCAGTGAATTCGCCGACGTCGTCACTGTTGTCATTGCTTCGTTTGTCGTCGACGCACTCGTGCGATGTGCTCTCAGCAGCCTACATATATAGCTGCTTGCGGTGCAGCGACTCACTCATCCGTCTAGCTCAGCACGTTCATTGCACTTGTGTGTCCGCCACCGGCCGCCAGTCGGAGGGTCGGCGCTGACGGCACACATTGTCTTGTTATTTTGGCAATTCTTCTGTCAATTATTTACTCTCGCCCAATCGGTTGAAGTGACGTCTTTTTTACATTCTTTACTTCCTTTACCCCCTCCCACGCTGGTTTTATCATTGCTCGCCATCGTTTTACTAGTGTTAGCCACAGATTGACATGTTTCATTTGACAGCCGCCAAGTCATTGACGCCATAAATAACGAGCAGCGACGACTTTGACGTTGAAATAAAAGCGAAAAATGCTAAATAGCGCAAAAAAAGTAATTTGCTCTTTAAGGATATGATGACAGTACAACGTAAACGACTCAGAAAGATTTTCATGAAGAGATAAATTGTCAGTAAGCTGTCAAGCAGACTATGGATTGAAGAACGTAAACAAGCGTGGAGAAGTGGAACAGTTAACGGAAATATAAAGTTTACGCAAATTGTTTCATATACTCTTGATATTGCATTGTTTATGAAATATTTATTTAATTTAATAGCGATGCTGGTTTTTATAGCTCTTGAATGTAATATTATTGCTCTTATTATTATATATTGGTTTAAAATACACATATTCGACAATATTGCGAAGTTCTCTTTATTTCATATCTCGAATGAAACGCTCTTAGTCATATAATGATGAAAATATTCTTAGTGAAATCGCTTCACTATACTAATAATTTACTTAGTGACAATATTTCCAACCGTTCCGCCTTTACTGTACAATTTAGTGGTTTCTTCTCATGCAAGCTATCACCATAGTCTAATAGGCTCACTGTAACACTTACTTTTAGTATGAAATCTTTTCACATAATCCTAAGTTATGCCACCTTTAATAGTCAAATGGCTTCACCTTTATTGTTTTTTAAACTTCTGCCTATTTAAAAGCATTTCTTCAGCAATTTGGGCCTCTGCGATCACTGCAGATTACATAATAATCAGATCTCTAACTAATTTTGATCATGCTGGTCAACTAGATTCTAGATACCTAGCAGGCTTTGGTTGTAGTTTTGAACCTACTGGGTCTAAAAGAAGGTATATTTTCTCTAATGTTCCCAGAAAGATATGGATCTAAATTTTCTTGTTCTTCTAGTTTTTAGTTAGCTAAAGTTATAAGCATTAACCAAAAAGAGTAGATTTCATAGTTGAAATAATTTTTAAAGAGAGGTAGTAATAACTGATTTACCCTTGATCGAGTGCATTGGTGATTTGTTTATTATTTTATTACATTAGACAAAACTTTTTGGAATTACTTTGCACGCATTTATTTCCAAACTGAATTACACACAAATATGCATATAACCTTACCGTTAATTTCATGCATTATTGACCATAGCAATTGTGCGAAGAATTCATTAGCGTTCCATGGCTCAATGCCTTTCGAAACGTTTTGTAATTGAAACGAGAAGTATAGCTTTCAGAAATCGTTCACCTACAAGTAGGTGGTGTGAAAATTGTAATGTGACACGGTTCATGGCAAGTTACACTTCGTTAACTTGAGATGCATGCAATATTTCACACAGAAGTTTATTTTTTTTTTGAAGGATTACATGTATTGTACATATAATTTCCCACTTATTGTAGTTGAGTAAAACTTGCTTGCGGGTTCATTACTGTATCTGTAATCTCCATATAAAAATTCACGGGGTCCCAAGACATTCATGTTGACATTTTTGTTGTTCTAGGTGAAAAAAACATTTCCCAAAGAAAATTGAGAGTCCTTAACCGTATAAATATGTGTGTCTGTTTCGGAACTTGTGAGGGAACAACAACTGAGGTTCTAAATATTGATAATCTGCTTGTCATTTATTGTCATTATTGTAGTAGGCATACTGAGGTAAATTTGGTTATTTAGTTATCAAGCAATGGCCCCGATGCTTGATAAGTTTGTTTCAGTAAAAAATCGGAAATTCTCGAAATTCAGTTTTGTTAAATTAGAGACGCCTAAAAGCTGGCACTAAATAATGTATTCAACACATTTATCTAAAAATCTCTACACATTGTACACATACTTATGTATTGTAGTAGATAGACAATTATGTATGTAAACATACTTTTAGAGTTTACACTGATTTTACTGTATCTATTGCGAAGTTTATAAAATTTGAGATCGATTTTTAAAACTTTAATAGATTTACTCAATAAGCTAAAAAATTTCTATATTTATAAAGATTATAATGAGTACGTTCGATGAAAAGAGCGTTGTACAGGGCAGAATTAAATAACATAAAAATAGTATTTTATAACGGCAACGGCAACAAACTTTAGATAATAGCAGTTTTTGCGAAAAAAAAATATCGTGTGCATGTAAATATTACTTATATAATGTACTATTTCTTATACATACATATGTATGTATGTATATAATGTGCTCACAAAAGCTTTAAGTTTATGCCATAATATGCTTACTACTGCTCATTAAGTTTATTCATAAAAAAAGAGTGGCGTCATATTACCTATGTCAGCAATTTAATAACACGAAATCGAACCTTGATTACCATGCTCTTCATAGAAGCTATGTATATGCCATACTTTTACATATATTTGTTTGCATAATACAAGTAAATATATGTAGGCACATTGGGGTGTGCAAAAAAATAACGAATATATAATTTGTGGGTTAAAATAATTACATAGCGAAAAAATAAAATACAAGACACGGTTCTTGGTAAAAAGAAACTCTAAATATGTAGCTTTAGTGTTTGTTGATGAAAGCTTTGTATATTTAAAAGAAAAAACCTAGAATCAAATAAAATAAAATAGTTGAAGCATATCCTTACACTCTATTGGGTCTATATGTTAACTATATTCGTGCGATTAGCCAAGAGATGGCGTAACTTGAATATTATTCTATTGTTTCAATATTCCGAACATGTGTTGGAAAACTACTGTCTTTGTGTATCTTTTTTAGAACAAACAATAAGTAGGCTAAGTAACAACAAAAACTTTTGCATTCAAATATGTAAAATTTTGTGCAAGAAAAAGTTTTTTTTGGGGTTCATTACTTTAATATGAATAAAACCTCAGCCGAAAGTCATCGTATTTTTGTGGAAATTTGTGACAACGGTGAACGTGCTCTAGCTGAGCGAACATGCCAAAAGTAATTTGCAGAACTTAAAAGGAATGATTTTGGCTTGAAAGTCAAAAAACGTCCTGGGCAGCCAAAAGATTTTGAAGATGAAGGACTGGCAGCATAACTGGATGAAGAGTGTTGACAAACACAATTAGAGCACGCCGAATCTTTGGGAGGCTGCGCAGTCATCCGGCACAATAATAATTAAAAAAATCGCTGACCACTTCAGTAGCTCAAAAATGCATATGATTATTTTGTGATAAAATCACTGATATATTTTGGATATATCGTGTTCTTGTGTTCTATTTGATCAAATTTGTTGTCGTCTTTTTTCGTAGTGTTAACCATTTTTTCCCCTTTTTAAAGCATTTAACTATACCAATTTTTGCATTGAAAAAAATCTGCTTAAGTTAAATTTTTTAGGAAATTTTATGCTTTACAAGAATTCTCGATGTAAAAATGTGTATTCTAAACGGGTCGAAAGTTATATTATAGCTCATCGACGCCTACTCAAATGAAGTTAAAAATCCCGCTTGCAGTGTTAGATTTTTTCTGTATAGAAGTTCATTTTGGCTCATAAATTTTTTTTTTTTTTACTCAGCCTAATGCATATACATACAGTATAGCAGGTAATTGTATTTATGTATTTACTGAAATTGCTACTGAGCAATAACTGGTTAATTGGCAATCGGCTATGCCGCAATATCGATAAACCCGATTGATTAAAAGGCTTTATGTACTTAAACTTAGGTATGCGTGGTTATACATATGCTTATGCAGCTTGCTTATGTTTATGTTGTATGTGCTTATGGGCTGATATGCATGGCTATGTTTCGTATTTTGAGGAAACCAGCCAGCAGCCACAACAAATGCAAAGCAGTTGTGAACACAGCAGGGCACAAAATTGCCACAACTATTTTCTTGTGATGTACACACACATACACATAGTATAACCATGTGACAGCGGCGAGCTAATCAAACTGCAAACTTGTGCAATCGTGCCCACTTTGGCGCAAATAAACATAGCTATCTAGCAATAAAGTATATTTCTGTACTACACACACACATGCATAGCCATATACATTAAAGCACAACTAATGCAATATGCCTGCAGCGCGGTGAACTCACGCAACTTCAGCGCAGTCTTTGCAAGTTGCAACAAAATGCAAACTGCTCATTCTGCGAAGCTATGTATGTATGTATGCGCGTGTTTGTTTGTTTGTTGTTTGCAATTTGTTCTGCTGTGTGCTAGGGCGTTGCTGGCTGCCGCTTACAACATTGTTTTGTGTCGTGCGGCGCAACAATTTCTGCTTACTCAAGACATAAGCAGCAACAAAGTATTACTTTTACAAGAGTCTGCATAATAATGTGCAACATACGCGTATTGACATGACAACCAAACGATGAGTGGGCACAGCAGCGTCTTTGTGTGCCTCTGTGTGTGTTGCAATTGCTTTGTTGCAGCCAAAGACAAACAGTCGCATTCACCGTTAATAATGCCTACAACTTTGTTAAAGTTGCACAGTATGTGCATGTGTGAGTATGTGTGTGTGTGTGTGTGTGTTTGTGCTGCAATTGGTGAGCACCCTTTGTGCGCTCCTTTTGCACTTTTATTAAATTCAATTGCAATTGAAACAATAAACAAATTTAATTCCTCGTGACATTTCGAAATGCAATGAAGCCAATGCTATTTATCTGAATTTATTGGCTACGCATGCATAAAAGATATATACAAACATCTATACATACATACGCACATTAGTCATTTATATAAGCAGCTGACATAAACTCGCTTAAATGCTGGCATTAATCAGCTGCCTATAAATACTCGTGGGACCAGGCAATTTTCTTTATTGAATTTCTTTAGTGCTGCCACAATTATATACATATATTTACTTATACAACAAATAATATATATATATATACATTAGGGTGAAGCGAAAAAAAATCTGTTTTTTTTTTTGTTGCTTAGCCTGAGGGTAAAATTTGTAGATTATGAAAAAATTTTTTTTTTTACAACTAGAGGCGGCCCGGCCCATTCACTCTTAAAGTAAAATTTCGAGTTAAATTTTTTTTTGGCTTTTTACATTTTTATAAACATTTCAGAATTTGACGGTTTTTGACACAAAATTTATTTTAACGCTTAAGAAAAGCACACACAAATTTTCTTTTTCCGCTCCACCTTAATATAAATGTATGTATAGGTATGTGCATATACATATGTATGTAACTACCAGCTGCCACCCGCAAAACTCAATTAGATTAAATTAGTTTGATCTCCATTTTGCATGTGTGTGGTTTAATCAGCGGTTCATAATGCCAAAAGCGCCAAAGGGGTGTGTGCTGTGGCGGATGATACCGTTGTCAAACAGTACTCCCACTGACAAACAAATATTGCATGCATGTTTGTATGCATAATGTATGTGGTTTTGTTACCGAATTTTGTGGTTTTGACTTCACTCATTCATTTGATTAGTTGACTTAATTAATTAATATGCTTAAAAATTCATAAATTAACGATTATCACAAATATTGTGCGCAAGTATGTGTGTGTCTGTATACATATACAAGTATGTACATACATATTTCTATATATGGTATACCTGTTTTTTTTTACCTACAATGAGTTTAAACAACCTTATCCCTTGTTATTGATATTTTTTTGTTTTGAAAAAGAAAAACTGTATTTTTTTAAGTACATATATTCAACATATTCGTCTTAGAATTAGAGCTAGTTAGAGCTTTTAAATATTTTCTTATTTTATTAAATCAAATTTAGAGTAAATATAACTTACGGTTTGGTAAGAAAGATAAACATACTTGTATAACAATTTTGTTAAGAATACGTACCTGTAAGAGAAAATAATAATTACTTAGTGAAAGTGTTTAAAACATAATTAATAAAAATAATAAATTTAAAAAAATATATGTACACATAATACCTAAGCAAATTCATAAAAAAAAAAAATTATGGCCAATCTGAATTTGCAAGTTATAGCATTGGCTTTGACAATAATACATCCCATATTTCATAAAGATATCTTGTCAAATAAAAAGTTTTCCATATAAGAACTTGATATGGATTGAACACTTGGTAAAGCTATAAAGAACTGATATCGGCAGTTCCA